GCGGGGCTGTGGGCGCCGTCCCGGCTCTTGTGTCCCGCCGCCGGGCCGGAGGAGCGGGGCTTGCCGGGAGGGGGGAGGGGGAACTCTCCTTTCGGAGCAAGAGGCGAATGGGAGAGCGCTGCCAGCCGCCCCATCCCCCGCTGTTGTTGCCTGAGGAGGTGGCACAGCTGGGAGGGAGGGGCCGCGCCCCGCCGCCAGGGTCATCTCTGGGGCTTCATCTCCCGGCGTGGCGGTCTGGGGGCTTTGCTCCGGATTCTGGACCCCCCAGCCCCTCCCCAAAGAGAGGACTGTCCTCCGGCCTGATATCTCCCCCCAGAGCACCGCGCGCACTTCGCCAATGTCCCTCCCCCACTTGTGCCACCCCTCCCGCCCTGGCGCGGGGCTCCGCTCCCCGGAGTGGAGTATGCGGGAAACCCTCATCCCCAGAGCTCAGCGCAACCCGCAACTTGGCGAGCCGGACCACTCAGCCACCCCCATCCCAAACAACAACAACAACGTTGGGGGAAGAGCTGGCAGTCAAGGCCAAGTTTGCCTTCTCGCTTGAAGTTTAGAAGGAATCAACCCCAAGCACCCTTGCCAAGTTCTGCCTCCGGCCCTGCTAGTCCCGCTCCCTCCGGAGGTGTAGATGAGGGCCGGAGAGGGGCAGCAGCGTCCAGGGGTGAGGGGCAGAGCTGCGATCTCTACTCCTGGGGAAAAGTCCTGAATCCAAAGCCCTCCAGATTCATATAACAGAGCTGAGTACAAACCACATTCTACCCCCGCCACCTCCTTCTTTTTAGTGCCTGGAATTTCCTCCTTTACCGAAAACGAAATGCGTAGTTTTTAATTCCCCCACATACGTGATTTTAATAGCTCTGTCAATCATGGTAGAGGATGAACGTTTCATACACTGTCGATGTAAAGTACTTAATCCATAAATCGTTTAAAGCTATCTTTAGTTTTGCATATTAAAATAGTCCTTTATATATATAACTTTCAAAGAACCCGAAGAATGAACTGTTTTACCATACCTAACCCTATTTTTCCGCCTAACAAAGTTGTTTTTATGTTGCTTGTAGATGCCGTCTAAAGACACGCACGATTTTAAAAAAAATCAAATCAAAAGAGCAAAAACAATAAATCATGAGCAGATAATACATTACATAATCATGCAATTCTTTCTTTGACATTCATGGAGAGGATTTCATTCCCTTGAAAGGAATGCTCAGAATATTCGAAATGTATGTAACCGTATTCGGGTTTGCGTCTTTTTAATTCCGATAAATTAAAAGTGCAGATATGTCTATTAATTATGGGACTAATTCTAAATGGGGGGAGTACAGAGTGAGGGGGCAGAAAAGGAAGAAAGAAAAAAAAAAGCTCACCAAGACTAGATGGAAATCTGTCTGTATTTAGTTTGTTATATCGGTCTGTTCAAATGTTCATTTTCCCAAACAGGTTTATTACATAATTTTAGTGTGTAGATAAGTGCACACAACAGCATTTGCAAATTATATTTTGTTTATGCAAAAGCAGTGGCTTATTTTTTTCTTTTCTCCAATAAATCTGAACTTGAGTAAATCTGAAAATCTTACAAAAAGGGCTGGCATCAAAGGTACACCAAACGTGTAAACACTTTCCTATAGAGCACTGGTTTGTGTGTACCGGGTGTGTACAGTGGACATTACACAAACCTGCGCTGCTGAAAGTCTAAATTTGCACACACAACGGTTTAATAAAGGATCCAGATAGTTACAAAAAGGATTTTTATTACCTTGTTAGAAATCAATAGACATCTTTCATTAAAATTTCGCAATCACTTTAACGAATGAGTGGTTTAAACAAAATTATCAAAACGACTCCAAAGAGTTACATATGTCAATTGTCATGTTAGCATTATAGTTAAAGTGCAATCTCTAACACGGACCGAACCCGCTCCTTATTAACCAGCTAAATTGCCTCATTTTTGGATGGATAAATTGCTCATTCATCACCAATAAAAAGACGCTTAAAAGCTCTAAAGCCTGCTGTAATGCTGCTTCCACTCTGGACGCTAAAATATTTCTTATTTTTTGTGTAAATATGTTACTACTAATTTCAAAATTTATTTGCTACAAAATGGTTTTTTAAATGCCCCTACAGTCGTTGCTATTAAATGAAGTTTACAGCAAACTTTTAATTCCAGAATATCGCAAGGTACCGATAAACACCTAGAAAAAATATAAAATTTCAAAGCATTAAACAACATCAGAATTCTAATAAAACAAGAACATCATTTTTGCTTGACAGGTTTTCACACCAGTTGTTAGGAACTTGCATTCCAATTACACATGATTTGTGTATGCGTGCGTGCGTGTGCGTTAAGTCCGGCGCTGTTTGCAGCCCCCCTTGGGGGTGGGAGGGAGGAAGGGTCTGGGAGGGCCAGGACTTCTTTTAATATTTTTGGTATACAGAATGTTTTCATTGTATTCAAACCCAATCAGTTTCTCTTCCAATTGTTGTGGCTATTAGAAAAGAACCTGTACATACGCTGGAGCCTTTGCATCCCTTCGAGACAAGGTTTCCCGACCGCAGCTGCTGGGATCTGAAATCTGGGGGAAGGGAAGGCAAGTCGTCCAGACCGGATAAGAGCCTCTAACCTCGTTCAAGGTGGAAAAGTTTCCTAGCCATGAAGTCACTCCAGGTTTGGACTGTCAGTTCCATGAATAAAATAAACAAAATGAACCATGAGTACTATGGAAAGTATTTTAATAGGTCGCCTTCTTAACAATATTTAACAGATATTAAAATAATCTTTAAAAAAGCTACACCACTTTTGTTATTTTCATCCCTTCAGTTTTATAGCGATTGTGAGAAATCTACACACAATACGGAATTTGTCTTTTATTATTTTCTGAACATATTTTTTATTTCCTTTCCAATTTCTAGGTTTACCAGTTATATTTAAGGCATACCATGCGTATAAAATTAGTACTTTTCGGGTTTACTGAAAAAAAGAACAGGTGACTTTTTCCACTTTAAAATTTATTTAAACTCAAAATTCAACGAACGCATCCTTAAGATTTCTCTTTAGCAGAAAGGCTTTTTAGTAAACTATATACACAATTCCCTCGTGACGCCTAAAATAAAAATTATTTCACAATGCATTTACAAGAAATAATACAAAACAAACAAAACAAAAACAAAAGAAAATAAAAATAAAGTACAATAAAGTTTTACAAAACCAAGAATAATGTTGCAGTCGGGAAAAAAAGGTTTATAAATAAACAAACAAAACCTCCGCAATAACATCTACAGTAACTTTTACGTGTGGTTTTGGATTTGTCTTAGTACATGTAATAAACGAGAACCGTTTCCTCATCAACTTTGTCTTAATTAGGCAATAAAAAGCCTACACAAGAAGCGATCCAAGGAAGAAGCGTGTAAGGCTTCCGCAGTATAAAAGTTGGCATCGCCTAAATCTTTGTGTTATTATTCTTATTTTTTGTCATTTTGTTATCTTTTCTCTTCAGCAAATAAAACGCTCTATGCCTCGTGAGTGAATGATAAATACTGTACAAAAAGTCCCAATAAAACACAGAAGTTCAGTCTAAAACGCAAAAACTAGTTTCAGAAACTAGTCCTAAAAAAGGTAATTAGAGCAATGGTTACCTTTTTCCTCCTTATTAATTATTATTATTATTATTATTATTTATTATCATGACAAGAACATCCAAACATTTTCTGTACAAAAAAGGGGAGCCGGCAGGGTGTGCGCGCTGGGGTGGAGGCGACGGCCAGCCAGATCGAGGTACCGCTCAGCCGGGTTCGAGGCAAGTTTCTGTCCCTCCCGGCTCAGATATGTGTCAAGGGGACTGTGCCATTGACCCCCGTGCTGGCGCTCTGGTAATGCTGGGGCAGGGAATGCAGCCGGCTCTGCGCCGCAGCCGGGTCCCCGCCTTCTCCGGCCGGTAAGTACATACTGATCATCTGACGGCCAGCCAGATCGAGGTACCGCTCAGCCGGGTTCGAGGCAAGTTTCTGTCCCTCCCGGCTCAGATATGTGTCAAGGGGACTGTGCCATTGACCCCCGTGCTGGCGCTCTGGTAATGCTGGGGCAGGGAATGCAGCCGGCTCTGCGCCGCAGCCGGGTCCCCGCCTTCTCCGGCCGGTAAGTACATACTGATCATCTC